GGGCTGCCGTTAGCGGGATAGCGGGCAGGGTCCCGGGACTACGGGGGAACGTGGCCTCCGGTACCGCGGCGTCTCCGGTGCCGCGGCGTCGCGGTGCTCCGGGCGAGCGGGGAGGCTGCGGGGCCGGAGCAGAGCAGCGGCGGGGCGGGGGCCGGGCGGTCACGGCGGTAGAGCGGGTCCGGTGGCCGAGACCCCTCCCGCCGGGGCCTGTCGTACCGTCAGCGGTAACGAGAACCGAGCTGGGGGACTTTTTTTTTTTTTTTTTTTTTTTTTCCTGTACCGCTCCTTCACCAGCGTCGTCCTGGTATGTGAGCGAAGGGAAGCACAGCTGGGTTTAGAAATTGAAGAGCCTATTGAAACTATACAGAATCTGCAGTAGTAAACTTATGCCGTAAGAACTTACAGGAATGTCTCCTTTCTAGGGAAAATGATTTCCGAAAGCAACTCCTTCGTGAAGGGAGTGGTGCTCGGAGGAGCCTTCTGCATGTTGGTTACGCTCCTCGGACATATTAAGGTGGGCCACGGGACTAAAGCACATCACCATGAGCATCACCACATCCAGGCTCCCAACAAAGAAGATGTCTTAAACCTTTCAGAAGGCGAACGCATGGAGCTTAGTAAAAGTATCCGCGTTTACTGTATCATCCTTGTGAAACCGAAAGATCTGGGGCACTGGGCTGCAGTGAAAGAGACGTGGAGCAAGCACTGCGACAAGGTGGAATTCTACAGCTCTGAAAACGTCAAAGTGTTTGATTCTGTAGCCCTCAACACAAATGACTTATGGGTGATGATGAGAAAAGCTTACAAGATAACGTATGAACGCTATAAAGATGAATTCAGCTGGTTCTTCCTTGCCTATCCAACAACATTCGCTATTATTGAAAATCTCAAGTATTTCTTACTAAAAAAAGACCCCTCACAGCCTTTTTATATAGGCCACACTGTGAAAGCTGGTGACCTTGAGTATGTAGATGGCGAGGGAGGAATTGTCTTAAGCATCGAATCACTAACACGACTCTCCCGTGTTCTTGAAGACTCTGACAAGTGTCCAGAGCAGGGAGGCATGATTTGGAAACTTGCCGAGGACAAACAGCTAGCGATCTGCCTGAAGTATACTGGAGTGTTTGCTGAGAACGCGGAAGACGCAGAAGGAAAAGACGTCTTTAACACGAAATCAGTTGGTGCTCTCATTAAGGAAGCAATGTCTACTCACCCTCAGCAGGTGGTGGACGGCTGCTGCTCCGACATGGCCATCACCTTCAGCGGACTGGCCCCGAACCATATGCACGTGATGATGTACGGTGTTTACAGGCTGAGACCCTACGGCCACACGTACAATGATGCACTTGTCTTCTTGCCACCTGCAGGTTCAGACAATGACTGATGTCTCTCCAGAGAACACCTGGAACCATGGAGTCAGCTCGTCTCATGACACACATTTGTACTGACAGATTGGATTTTTGTATCTGGTGGTACTGGTGTACAATTTTTTTTTTGCACATTGAGGTTTGGTAAAGCTCTTAATTTTAAAAGTGGAAGGAGAACTTTTTTCTAAATCTTTTATACAGAAATGATTCTGGCTTTTGACAGTGCTGCAATGAAATGATAAAGAAGTTGTTAATGTTTATGGTAAAAGGAAATTAAGTTTATATGGGGGTTTGTACATGTAAATATTTATTAATGAAAATTCAAATGAACTTTAGTCTACTATTACAAATCTATTTTTGCAAGACTTTGATTCTTTCAATTCTTCCAGGCATTTCTAGAATGTCTTTATATCTTTCCAAGACGTACCAATAAAACTGACTACACCTTCAGTCTCAAAGACTAACTTTAAGCTATTTCCTTTAAACTAGGCTACACAATAGCTTCAGTTATGCTGTTTATGCAGCACCTGTTGCTTTATGCACAGCCTCCTAACCCAGTAAGGAATTTGCAAGAAGCAAGCTGACAAGAGTTCTGTTAGAAAGTTGCAGCAGAATAATATTAAGTGACCTTTGGACTGCTGTTTTTAAGCAGACAAAGAGGTAAGTGTACTTGAATAAGTATTGACATGGTCACATAGCCTGTTATCACAAGAGTAATTGCTCATTTAAAATTTCACTTCATACGTAAGTGTATTAGAATAAAGGTTCAGTATTATTTTCACTCCCGTTAGTGATGCTAAGCATTTACAAGAAGTTGGTTAACTGTCAATTCAAATGTAGCGTAGATATGTTTAGAGATACCGTTTAACACCAAGATGCAGGAAGAGTAACACGTGCTTGTACTCCCAACCTTTGAATAATACACAAAACAGGTTACATGCACAACAAAGCAATATGCAGACCTCCCCAATACTGGGTTGGGGGGTTGTGTGGTGGTTTTTGGTTTTGTGGGGTTTTTTGTTGGTTTACAATTGAGTGCACTTGCAATGAGTTTTATACAAGTTACCAGGTCACACTCCCTCACAGTTACAGCACATGGGAATAAACAGCAGTTCAATATTTACTTCATTTAGAACTCACTGACCTGACCCAGATGTTTCAAGACTTAAAGAAGGTGCTACATCTAGGACTATCACAGGCTTTTTTGGTACTACAAGATCCATAAGAGACCTGACAAGATAGTATGTTATCTCACCTTTCTTTAACAGACTATTTGTGATATCTCATCCTATTCTCAGCTGCAAGGAGGCAGGCTGGGAAGTGAAACAGCTGCTTCAGAGGCGATAGGAATATCCACATCTTTTCTGTTTTAAGCATCAAGGCCTTCATTTTTGACAAGCATGGTAAGACAACTGCTCAGACCCCCAAGCAAGCTACCACAGCTCAGCTGTTTCAGAAGGTGCACCTTGTCTCACCTTTAGCACATTCTCCTCCTCTGTGTCAGTCAGAGCTCAGCTGACCTAGCAAGACAAACATGTACATGATTGCTGCCAAAACAGAGATAAAATTTTAGTATTTTTGATGTTCTTCTAAATTGGTATACAAAATAACTTAAGCATGATTTAACTTGTATCTTCTTACAGAATCATTTTTGAAAGGTTAGATCCACCATTGGGAATACTCTGACAAAGCCAGACAAAGAAAGTAAAATTTTGATTTCAGTGGTGCTTCTGATATTAAACACAGTTCTCACCCCACTGCAACAACAGCAGTCATAGGGCAAGTCAAGGAAAAAGACTGGGAGTTAACATTTCAAACCAGAATAAATATAATTTATCACAGATTTGAGAGGTACTGTAACACAACTGGAGACAAGATGGGAGGGGGAAAAGCAAGCCACAGAACTCAAGACGAGCTCATCTTATGCAGAAAAGAACCACTGAAGCACAAACCGATTCCCCATACGTAAAAATGTCCATTAGCATTCCGAAGGGAAGGTTGAGGTTTGACCAAAATTTTTTCTGCAACGCTGCTGTAATAATAATCACCTTCATTTCTGTCTTCCTACATTAATAAATAGTTTCAAATTTACCCTGTGATTTTCAGAAATACTATCTTGTAAATCATTTTACAGGAGAAATTTAAAAGTAGCACATACTAGGTAACACATTCCATCTCCCATGTCTTAATTTGACTTTAGAATCAGATGGAGAACACCTCTGCCACTATCTTCTGTAAAGGTCCCAGGGTGAGCAAACCAAACATGCAGAACAGCACTGAGACAAGGCACTTGCATACAAAATTAGGTTCTCCCATTATAAAATACAAGTGTTAGAACAGAGACTTGAAATATTAATAAATGCTTCCAGAGACAGAGTTAGGAGTGGTAGACCTTAAAGTTTCCTTGGTTTATTAAATGGTTCCATGGCACAGGCTGTTTTCCATAGGCATAGCTTTGGGTATGCAGTTGCTGAACAAAGAGTCGGATTTTCCAGACAAATACACAATGCTCTTTAACTCGTTCTGTAGATGTACATGTATGTGGCAGTGTGCACAAGCTGAGATCTCTTTCGAAGCTCCACCTGAAGAAGTTGCTTCTGGCTACACTGATAACCATGTTTTGCTATCATGACTTTGTTAAACAGTGATTTTGTTTCTGCTCCTAAAATAAGAAGGCAAACAGGGAGTAGAGCATCAGGCACCACATTGGCACACACTCCATCTGGAGTATGCCCACCATTACTATAAACTCCACTATAAGGAAAGCAATATCAAACAGTGTTGGCAGGTAGAAATTTGAACATATATATATTCTTCAGATATGAACTAGCATAAAAGGATTTCTAGTCCACATACCAGTCTTAAATCCATAAATCCTATACAGATAAATGCATATTAAAAAGAGAAACTCCTTAAGTAAAATATTGAAGTTAATGCTGTTAATAAATTAAGTTAAAAATAAATGTCAAAAAACCTGATTTCTCCACATTCAAGACACAGGTAGACTAACAAGATGTTAATCAGAAGAAAAAAATCTGAAATGTTTCAGAGGTTTTATAAACCGTATTAATTATATTTCACATACGCTGTATATTACTCTTTTAGAAGAGCATAAAAATGTAAACATTTCTTGGCTTTTTCCTCCTTTTTGTTTGCAATAGTCTACTCACAGTCCATGCAGGATCTTTCTATCATATATCTTCAGTCACTGAAGACTTCGGTTTAAGACAAAACAAAAGAACTGCAATCAAAAGAAATCTAGAAAACTATTGTAGCCTAACAGTACTTTCGCATTCACTTGATTTATTTAGCATAGCCACAGAACAAAGTAATTTGTACATTCAGTCACATTAAAAACAAGGAATTGCAAAGCAGTCCACATTTAATCTAAGTGCATTCCTTTGGAGTAACACAGTTCCTTTTGTTTCACTTGTATGTCTTCATATGCCAAAGGCCATCATTTAAATAGTGGATATTTTCGATACCAATCCCTTTGTTGACCTTCTCACTGTAGGAGGAGGAAAAAGGTACAGAAGTATTAGCTAGGTTAAATATTAGAGCAGTACAAAATACAACATTTAAAGTAGAAAATGCAAACTTTCTCAACTGGAATGGGAGAAGCTATCATCCACAAAGTCATAATCTTCAACAGCAGGTGGACAAGAAACAATATTTGTTATTACATGTACCCACATTGGTGAATGATAAGAGGACAATATTTGCCTTCCGCATTTCGTCAACAACTTTCCACAATATTTTTCTTCTTTGTGGAAGGCAGTTCTTCAGACAACACTTCTGCTACTATTCTTAATTTTAGCATTTCTCTATCAAAGTAGCACAGCAGTTTTAAGTGACCCTCCCCCTCCTAGCACAGGAGGTGGTGTAACATGGCTGGAACATGGAATTTGACAAGTTCTAGTTCCAAGTGTGCCAGTGACACAAGCAAATGCAGGTGAGCTGCTTCACTGCTAGTTGCAGGACATCTACCCACTTAATAAAGAATTTTAAATGATGAATTTATGATCCAAGGACTTGCAGCATGTTACAGACATACTATCCTTCTGTATCTTTTGAGTCATGTCATCTTTTAAAAATGATTGGGGTTTGCATCTGCATTGGATTGGTGTTAATCTTTTTTCCACTACATTATTCCATGGAAAAAAACTAGTTTTGTCACAATAAACAAGACAAATCTCATCATTCGAGGACTCAGAACAAGTTTCATTCCTCTGGAGAATATAATTTACTGTGTTTACACTAAGTGTTCCATTACTTATACGACTTGTCCAAAAGTAATCAGGAAGGAAAATACTGCTATGTTAACTCCATTAACACATCATGGATCATAATCACACTAAGTGACTGAAATCATAGTTTCACAATTTTCTGCTTTAAACAACATTACACAAAAAAACATGCGAACGGGCTGTATAGATGAGTATCATTTCATTTTCCTCCCCAGTTCATGTTGCTTCTCACAGGAACAGGATATTCAGCCGCAAGGCTGCTGAATTTGAAGTTAGGATTAGGAATACAGATAATCTTGGTTTGCAGTGATCACAGCAGATCACTGGGACAAAAGTAGCTATTCTTTCTACTTACTTTTGGAGTCTTTTGAAGGCACTACAAAGAATCTTGAGGAATACAATTCCGCTACAGCAGGTCTAAACTGCTGCAGTCCCACTCTATCCCTGTCCCCCGTAACACATTCCCACCTCTCTCCCTTGTGCTACCGTCACAACTTAGGATCACAGAGTGAAATTCGTAAGATGATCCTGCTGAGAATTATCCCCACAAGAAAGAATGACTTGTTTTCATCAAAATCAGCTTCCTTACCCACCTGAGTACTAGACAGGGCTGGAACCAACACAGCCCAAACCTGCTGGGTGCATCTTACATCCTGCTGCAAGACATTATAGAACTTAAAGTGACAAAGTGGTTTAGCTACTTGTAATTTAGCACTATCTGAATGCTAAGAACAACTAACATCCATTTCCGTTTTCTGTCTCTTTTCCTTCCCAAAGAGTTTTCAGTCGATATTTATCCCCTGAACAGACCTCTACATTTCAGAAGAAGCTCAGCTAAGCTAGTAAGCGCATAAAGCAGGAATGCTGCATGTGGGTACAAGGTAAAGAAAAAGAGAAGGCCACAGAGGAAAGCCCAGCTGGTCAGCCAAATACCAGCAGAACTTTAGTCTTGGCTGTTCCTGCAGAAAAAAAAAAAAAAAAAAAAATCACTTCAA